GTATTCATTGGCTCTCTGGAGGAATAATGTCACTTACTGCTGTCTTGCCTAAAACTACGTCATTTTTTGCGCACTTACGGCTTTCTCAAATGTCTCGTTTACATACAGTTAAGATGAATTTTGCTGTCTCAGCGATTTCAGTGATTTCATCTAAAAGAGACTGGACGAATTTTGAAGGAAACTTGATTTCGAAAATTTGACACCCTCTGCTCTTTTTACTATCACGGCAGAATAAATCAGCATTAGCATCGGGACCTAACTATGAATTGGGCGTATTTCTATCAAACAGAGCTATGTGCATTATGACGTGAGCCCTGTTAAGCATGCATTCTTATGGGTCTCAGAGCCTATAGCATAATGCACATAGTTTTGTTTAGCCAGAGATGCGTCCAGTTGTCACAAAGGCAACATCTTAATTACGGCAATAAAAGTAGATAGGATCTGGAATTTACCGTATATATTTTGCGCACTTACGGTTTTCTCATTTGTCCCGTTTTGATACAATTGAGATGAATTGGATTGCATTTTGCAAAAAGTACCAGGAGCATTGCAATGTTGCTACAATTGTGCACCTTCTTTTGCCTTGGAAGAAAAACCTGATTATCCATTAATAGTTCCTATTTTACTCGCTAAAAACTATGCATTTAAGACAAATATTATTATGTAAATTTCATATTTTTTCAAGGTTTCGATAATTTTAGTGCGAAGAATGAAGTTGCACAATCTTAGCAGCATTGCAATGCTAGTGGTTCCTTTTTGCAAAATGCAATCCAATCGTATCGTTTCGGCTATTTCGATGATTTCATCGAAAGGAGTTCTGACGAATTTTGAAGGAAACTCGATTTTGGAAATTTGACACTTACCGCTCCCTTTGCTATCACGGCAGTGAAGTACGCTCGTTTTGTCGGGAAATCATAATTACGGTCATTCAGGCGGGTTAATAAAGTCACTGCCAGTAGCGATCAGAGCAAGCTCCTGTCGGAATCATCTCCAACCGAGTCTTTTACTCCGACCAGGCAAGTGATCGGCTGAGGCGGCGTCGTGGGAGGGCTAAGTATACTTTAAAAATCGCTGGGCTGATGACCGCTAGGATTTCCCGCGGATCCATCCCACGAAATACGGGGCCCTATTTCCTTCCAGCAGCACAAATACGCGACTCCGCAGTTCGGTATCTCACGTCGCCGATACCGCAAGCACTAGCGCCTTTTCTCTAAAAATAAAATTTCGGTTTGTACCAACGAAAGCACCGTAGTTCCTTCTAAAAGATTTTGATTTTTAGTTTCACCGTGGGTACGATTTTCATCAAATCTTGTGTCGCGGGATACACGACCGCATTCTGTTGGCAGCCAGGTGAGGTCTTTTTATAGCCTCATAATGAGGTGAGCGCTCCTGCTCAGGTGCTCCATGGAGCGTGGATGAGGAGACCGGGGGGGAAAG